AAAAAAAAAAAAAGATATATGGGCAAAAAAAGACCCCTGGCATGGACCAAACTAAACATTTTGTGAGCCAAATTTGGCCTTGCAGGCAGCCTGTTTTCAATCTCTGTTCATGACACTTTCTAATTTACCTTAGAGTTTTGTGAAATTAACCTTGAATTTAGGAAGAGTAGGAGTGCCCGGCACACAGTGGGTTCTCAGTAAATACTTGTTGAACAAATGAATGAAAAAAATACATATATGCACACACAACACACATATGTATACACACATGCATACATTTCAGGCAGTTGCTATATCTGTATGTGTGTGTAATACACACGTATATTTAAGTATATATGTATCTGCTGGATAATGAAGTCCAATGTTTTTTAGATAGCTAGAATATACCCCTCCTTCATCTTTATCCTTAGAGCTCCCCCTACCCCTGCCACACACCCCTAGTACAAACAGTAATTTTGTAGGTTCTAAGCCTAAATAACACTTTAAAAAAGAAATTGAAGAAATATGAAACCCAGACATTAAGTCTAATCAATTATCAAGTGCAAACAAAATTTTTAGCTTTCTGAGGCAGTACGGCCTTGTAGTTGGGAACACAGGACTTTGAAGTCTGTTCTAGGTTCAAATTCTGGCTCTCCAACTTAGAACCAGTATGACCTTGGCCAGTTCACCTGACCTCACTATGCTGCAAGTTCCTCATTAGTAAAATGATACAGTAAAACTGCCTTCAAAGGTTGTCATGAGAACTAAACAAAATGGCATCTGTAAATCACTTAGTACAGTTTCTTGCTCATATGATAGAGACTGTTAACCCACAAAACAGTGGGAATTTCTGATCTTGAAGACGCTATCAACAGAAACTTGACCAAAAATGTCAGAAAAAAGTAAGCTAGCAGCTTTAGCAGAGGGATTAAAGCAAATGTGAAAACTGAGGCACATAAAAGCCATTCTTTCTATCAGAGCAGGGTTAGTGGAAAGAGGGATCAACTGGGAGTCAGAAGACTTAACTTCTAGCCCCAGTTTTGCCACTTATAAGCTCCTTGGACAATCATGTGCCCCTCTGTGCCTCAACTCTCTAATCAATAAAAAGGGGATTCTNATCAACTGGGAGTCAGAAGACTTAACTTCTAGCCCCAGTTTTGCCACTTATAAGCTCCTTGGACAATCATGTGCCCCTCTGTGCCTCAACTCTCTAATCAATAAAAAGGGGATTCTGGTAGTTACCCTGCCTGCCTTTTGTGGCTCTTGGGAAGAACCGAGAAAATGAACACAAAAGTACTTTGCAAACTGGACGGTACAACACTCATAAAAATGTCATCACTAGATCCTAATTAGGCAAGATATCAGACTGAGTCATGACCGTAGTCAGAAGGAGAGTCTTTCAGATCCCTCCGGATCATCAGCAGCTTTCTGTTCCCCCAGTGATCAGAAGCTGATGTTTATTGAGGGTTGACTAGGTACCGGGCATTGTGCATTTCACCTCTTTGACTCTTCCTGATATTTATGTGTCAGGTATCCTTATCACTCCCATTTTGCAGTTGGGGAGACTGAGGGTCATAGTGGCCAAAGGAGCTGCAAGGACATGTAGAGATCGTCTGGTACATTCGTTCTCACACGCTGGTCTGTGGATTTGTGCTAACCACGGCAATGTGTTTACATGACAGTGGCAAAATCAGACAAACCAGGATAATATAGTGAGCTTTCTAGTTTTTCATAAACAACATTTATTCAGTTCTAAGGCTTATCCAGTATTCTGAGAATATCTCTCTTATGTTTGTTAAAATATCTTTTCTTTTACAAAATGATGGTAAAAGTGTATTGTAGTTCCTTTTTTTTTTTTTTTTTTTTTTTTTTTC